GGGGGGGGGGGGGGCAGGGTCTCAAATGCTGAAGGAGAGAACAACCAAATTATGTTAAAAGTACAAGCCTCAGTATAACTCCTTATTTTTGGGACCATTAATGGAGTTCTTGTGGCAATTTACTTTAAGGAGGTGATTGAGCTGAAACTTGAAATGTTATAAACTGAAGAGAAACTCAGTCCATTTGCAGTAAAAATAAAAAATAAAAAGGATTTAAAAGCTGGTTTGATAAATACAGAATGAAGAGGTCTGATACCACGAGAACATAAAAATACAAAATGATGTTTGAAAAGGTGTTGGACAATACTGAAGGATTTATTCAGCTGACAATAATTAGGACCACATCCTTCTTGCTTTACTTCAGTAATTAGGTCTCCCTACGTGTGATAAAAGCATGATTTGGCCTTCTTGTTCTTTTTGAGGGCACTTTGTGTATTTATCTTTTAACAGATTTTTCTTCTCCATTTTTCAAATATAACGACAAAAATCACACAGTTGACATGTTGAATTAAAATTGGCTGTAGGACTGGAAGGAAGGTAATGCAAATCATTGATCCAGTGTCTTGACTATTTCCATTCAAAATATTGTATAATGCAGCAGTTTGCCTAGCACTGAATTTAGTATACTTTAATCACTAGCCCCCATATGTTTTGTTAGTTCACAGGGCCATGTCAGCTTCTTACAAGTCTTTACCAAAGTCAGACTTGTTCACAGGCTCATATTAGTAGCTAGAAAGTAATACACCTTCCAGAATGACCTGTTGACTTGTTAATGCTGGGGGCATGCAAACATTTTATTATTTTGCTGTAACCCCAATAAGAGAGAGCTAGATGCAATAAGTCCAGAGGTGACCACTTATTTCTATGTATTCACTACTAGCCAGGAGAGGAATTGGAAAGTTTCAGTAGAAAATCCACTGATCTTGGAACTTAATGATTGGCTGGGGTGGGGAAAGCCAAACCTAGGATATATCCTAAAAAAAAAAGAGTTAGACACAGATGGGCCTCCGTTAGAACTGGGCCTGCTGTCCGTTCAGGGCAGAGCAGTGAAAAATGTGCTATCCTGTAAAGTTGAATAAAAAAAAAAGCATATTGTGGCAAAAAACAAACCATCATCTGGTAGAATAATATACTTATAAATTTGTGAAATGTGTATGTATAACCCTGCTGTAATAAAGGGTTAGTTGATGTTTCCATTGCAGACATAATTTTCCAGGGGCATAGAACCGCTGCTTGGACTGGAATTTGCCATGCACGTCAGTGGCCTGCTTGTAATTCCCCAAAATAAGTTGAAAAACATTTTATATTAGTTGGCCTGAGTTTAGAAGCTGGGGAATAATGTTCAAATGTTTGGGTGTGGATGGTTTTTCAAACAAAACCCAGCAGAATTTGGCATACATCTTTCCACCCTGTGGTCTGTAAAGCAGAAGAGTGAGACAGGGCTACTGGCAGACTGCTGGGGCACAGAGTGAGCAATCAAGACTGAGCTTGGAGCCTCTGGACAGACCAAGGTCAAGACTGGAGACGTTTCTAAGGAGGTGCATCAACGTGAAGGAGGTCTTTGTGCTACCTTATTGGAGGCCTTGGCTACACAAGGAAGGGACTTGACATTATGAGTTGTATCCCTAAACTCCATTACTATTGACTTGTCCACATGTGGGTTTTATCTGCCATGGTAGCAACATTGATATGTACACCATGCCACCAGACTACACTGGTGTAAACTCTGGCTATTACTCTGCAATGGTTCAGGTGCATTATATTTTGCTGGGGTTCTTACCAATGCAGCCATGTTGTTAAAGAGATACCCTCTTGGCTAAGAGCTGCAGTGTGGAAAAGGTATTCAAGTATTTGCATGGATGTGCACAGCTTGTTCCAGCTCTCTGGAGAGGACAGGTTTCATAGATAGATTCATAGATTTAGGGTCGGAAGGGACCTAGTAGATCTTCTAGACCGACCCCCCGCCAGGGCGGGAGAACAACAAAACCCCAAAACAAAAATGGGACTCAAATGAGTCCAGCCAGGTAGGCATCCAGCCTCTTCTTAAAGACCCCCAGGGTAGGGGCCAGCACCACTTCCCTTGGAAGTTGGTTCCAGCTCCTAGCCGCCCTAACTGTGAGGTAGTTTTTGCAGATGTCCAATCTATACCTCCTCTCCATCAACTTGTGCC